TCTATTTATTCATATATAAGTAGTGTTTTTCACAACAAATTAGATAATAGAAACATCCGACGACGGCGTCATTCGAGAGCTTCCGACGGACTGACGACAGTGACGACGCGTGTCACGGGGGAGGGGTGCGGTGAAAAGCGAGTACAAGTGGCTGAGAGATAGAATCAGTGCCTAATCCTCGTTAATCGATTCAGAACGATTTTTAAATGTTTTTTTTTTTTTTTTTTTGATAAAATAAATAAAATTTTCGTATGGAACTAAAGAGCCGCATGTCGCTCGCGAGCCGCAGGTTGCCGACCCCTGGGCTAAGCTGAATTTCACGTGGTATAATAACGAGCTAAAAATCTCATTGGAAAAAATGGGAAATCTAATTCACTGAATATTATATGAGACTAATTAACTGATTATTTCTAAAGAAATAATAACGAATTTTTTTTACTTTAGTTAATATCATAAAAGATTTTTTTAAAAATTAAGTTTTCATTTTATAATTACTGTATTATGATTCTCTTTTTTATAACTATTATTCCTGTAATGAAAATTTTCTTGCTTATTAGAAAATATCTTAGCATTTTATATCTGATGATTTTATTTTAAAATATAGTTTTATCTTCAAATATGAAGAACGAAAATATACATAACGTTAAAGAAAAATACACAATTATAATTTCCAAACTATGCAAACTTTACGTAAACGTATCATAAATTAACCTAATTTGAATATTCATAGATTGCGAATGATTTTGATTTACTCTCATCCTAATATAGCTTGCTACTTTAATATTTTGATATCAATATAATACAATTTATGAACTATGATCAGTCTGCTTGTAAAATAAAACTTTTATAATTATTTGTTATATAAAAGATTACCGCATTATGTAGAATAAAGAAAAACTTCTTCAATATCATTTTCTAGTTATATAAGCTTTATCTGACGGGAGATTAAAACTATCAAGGTAAAAATGTGATCATCAGATCAAAATCTTATGCCAAGGATATCTGTCTGGATGATGGTAGACATCCTTGACCGTCTTTCTTGTCTACAATATTTGTTGAGATAATTGAGAAGAAAGCTATATTTAACTAATGCAAATATTTTTCTGAATGGCACTGACTATTTGAAATTAAATAAATAGATTTACGTGTAGAAGAAATGTATTGATAATGAATGTAAATAACGACCAATATTATCAGTCACTACTACTAATTAGTTACGCCAGTACTTGGCGTTAGAGCCATTATATAATTATAGAGAAATAGCAACACGTATTAGACGTCATATTCGCTGAATTGTTTTTAAACATTTAATTTAAATAAATAAAAAAATCTGGTTTTAATTTAAAAAAGCAGAGATGTATAAGAATTTCAGAAATCAAATCGGGATATGTGTTTTTAATAAGCTAGTTATACCGAAACAGGAGGTGGAGCTGTAGCTGATAAATACAGGCTCTCTCTCATGAAAATTTATTCAAGAAATATAGATGGGCATACATGTCTCGTAATGTACTAACAATTTGTCAGTACATTATTACCGATTTTGATTTGGTAGCGTAAAAAGAATAATTAATTTCTTCTAAAATATTTTATTTTCGAGAATCTAATAACGAAAAATTGATATTTTTATTACAGTATGATATCAAAGTTAATAGGTTGGTGTAGATTTCCTAATCAAACCAGGAATATTTTTCAGAATAACTTATTAAGTTCTGATCACTCGCAATTTTATCATAAAACTAATCACACTATATGCACAATTTTGCTTTATAATTAGCATTCATTTCACGGTTTAAATATTTAATTTTTATTTCTCTTATGAACACAGATAATTAACGAATAAAAATATTTTTTCTATAGAAGTTGTAATTTCCGAAAAACAAAGGACTAGTTTTATCAAATTATTAAAATCTTGGAATCCAAGATCTTCTATCCCATCAAAATATTTTGCGCACATATTTTACACCCTTAAAACAAATATTTTGGCCGTTTCTGTCAGTTACATTAATTTTTTTCCTTATTCAATTTCTTATCATCAACGTTATTAGCGCCGATTGACCGAATTGTCGAATTTAATGTTTCCGTTCGTGAAATACGTTCTTTAAATTCGATGGAACTATTCTATGAGCTATATTTCATGCCGTTTCTTCCTCTGTCGTACGATTCTTGCAGGGATAGTTAACCAATAATGCGTCTTTTGGAGCAAAAATTAATATAAGACTCGATCTTATTTTCGGGGAAACACGGTATACAAAAATATTTTACAATACATTTAAAGTTATTAATTTAATAGTAAACATAAAACTCTATTACATATAATGTATCTGTTCAGTGTTATAAGTTTTACGCTACTTTTACACATTAGGAATACGGTATATATAAAATGTAGTGTTTTCTACGAAAAATGTAATATTTTTAATAAGTTTTAAAGTAAAAATTTATTTATTATTTATATTATTAAATATATAAAATATATATGGCTAATAAAGGCGTTTTATCATTATTTCTAAATCTTCATTTATGAAAGATGAGATGAAAAAGTATTATTGATATTTAACCATGATTATAAATTTTTATATTAACAAAAAATGAAAAAAATTACAAATAAAAACTTTAATTAATAAATCATTTAGATTATTAAATAAGTTCTTTCTTTGATGATGATAACAAATTTTTCTCAAAATGAAAGAGAGAACTTACCTATTAATGGGAGGATAAAAAGCACGTAAAGTGCCTGCCACTTCCTCATCTTGATTCAAGAGGAATGACACTGGATGATATTTGACTAGCAGTAACAGTTCTCTAACATGCACAGGATATCATGCCACACCAGACTGACAACGTTCTAGCTCTGGATCAGAGCTAACTTCCATGTCTGTTAATATTTAACAGCCAATAGGGTAATATAAACTTAACCTCTGATCTACACTCATCAATCGCTAAAACTAATTGTTTAGCTCTTATGCTTTTCTGAACTATTTGATTCTAAATGATGATGATGATTCACCAGAGATATTTTAATGTGATTTCCTACAATTTTTAAGTTAAACTAAATCCAATTAATTTTTATTACAATATATGAGATTCAAGCTTTTCATTTTTGAAAACCACCAACTCATACCGCATCGTCATAAACATTTAAAATCTACCTAACGGTAATGATGATTCTATACGTAGGATTCTTATATTCTTATCATGCCTAAAGGTTTACAACGTCATTGGAAATACTTTATTTAACTTTTCACAGCATGTTTTGGCCTTTTTTTTTTTGCACAAATTTATGCCTTCAGTTCACAACACATGTATGCATGCCGATCTCACAATATGTGCAATACTGTGAAGTGCATCAGTTAAATATTTAATGTCTTTCTGTTCATCTGAAAGTGTAAATTAGTGTTAAAAAGGGCCAAAATATGTTATGAAAAATTAAATAAAGGATTTACGGTGACGTTGTGAATCTAGGCCTGATAGGCATATTGATATAATAATCCTACTTATAGTATCTTTTCCGTTCGCTTATTTGGAACTTATCGTCCAAATTTCTGAAGAATCTCCGAAAAAATATATCGCTGTCAGAATGGCTTTAGTTTTGGATTCGTGTCATAATGTCTTTATTTACTATAAACTAGTAATATGTAGCTTTTGGGTTTATTATATTCAAGGAATGCAAGAGCATTCCTTGCATATAATAAACCCAAAAGCTACATATTACTAAAGATTATCCGTTACTACCACCACTGTTGGCAATCTGGGCTTTTTAGTTCAGAATTTCCTTTTTTTTAAACAAATAATGGACGTTTTACGTTTATAATCAGCAAATAAACCATCTCTGTTCGATTCATAGTTAGAAATATGAACACGATATTGCTTCTTTTTTTTACGATTGGAATTTTAGTCGAAAATTATATTTATGTTAATGATTATATATCTAAATCTTTATTGTAAACAAATTAAATAGAAAAGATCTAAATATAATGTTATTAGTTTAAATTTATTGTTACGACAAACACTTCAAAATTATCTGGATCAATATAATATTTATTGATGATAACTTCTTGTTCAAATAAGATAAATTTCTGTTTATAAAAAATTTTCTTATCTGAGTTTAGAATGTCGATGGATGCGTTACGAAGTTTGATTAAATAATAGTTTAAACTTTGATATTTATTACTATAAATTCTATTTAACTTGAAACACAAATAATAAATTTTGTATTAAATAAAATGCTTAAAAAAATAAAATAAAAAAACCTTGTTATGACGTTAGAATGCATAAAATACTCCATTGGTTTTTATTTCTTATAAAGTTGAAAGCAGAAATTTGAACATTAGCTAAAAAATCAGACAAATTAACTGAATATTTCCACTTATCAAAATTAATTGATTAAATAATTTAATTATTACTCTGAAAATTTTCTCTAAGATGAAAAATAGCTTAAATCTTCAACTTTATTTCATGGTTTCAATTAAAATTTTAAAAACTACTATGGTAACAAAACAAGTTTGTTAATTAATTATAATAATAATTATTATTATTATTTGACTATTGTTCTTATTAAGATTAGAAATTATCCAAGATATAAAGTAAAAAATAAAAAAATATGAAATTATTGTTGCAAATTAATAAAAATCTATTTTATAATCTTACTAAATAGAGACCTGAGATCTGTGAGAACAAGTACAAAAGTCAAAGTTTGATGTTTGTTGATCAAACTATGCTGCTTTATTCATTTTTAAATAAAGACAACTTTTGAAGATAGTTTTCTGAAGATGCTTCTTTATATTCTGAAATTACATTTGATAAAAGTGTTAAATATTCTTATTGATGTATGATTAAATTTTATATTTTTATATCTGTTTTTTAAATTTAATTAATTACATTAAGTTATTGTCTCAAGATTGAAAAATTTAAAGATTTTTAATAATAAATATATAGCAATTATTTTGTTCAATTCATATAACTATTTTTAAAAAGTTTAAATATTTTAATTTAATCTTTTTTAAATACAAAATTTATAAAGTTAAAAATTTTTTAAATTTGAAGTAAAAAACATTATTTGGAAATTTTATGCTTCTTTTCCTTCAATATATTTAAATAATGGTGATGTAAAGAGTACATCCTTATATAACATCATGGAAGTATCTTGTATATGCTTATGAACAATATGAGTATGTTCTAAATAGCACTTTTCATAATGATGCAATACAATTTGATCAGAATATAAAATTTCTCTATCATTATTTTTTATTTTGTTTTTTCTCCAAATAGAAAGAGCTGGTTTTTTATATAAAGTTTTAGTAGAAACATTCTTTGCTAATCGTTTGGTATACTTTAAAGTTAGAAATGGAAATTTTAATGTTTCAGCTACTATATCTGGGTATTCAGTACAGAACTGATAAACATTGAATTTATATTGCATTGTATTTTCTAAAATTTTTGTTAAGTTTTGATACTTTGGCACAAAGAATTCATTTAAAGTTGTAATCATCACATTATTAGTATTATACACAAGAAGTGATCTAGCAAAGCAATCTAGATGGTATATATCTTTATCCAATGCTCCTCCTGGATAGTTCCACTTGAGAATATCAACTTTGTATTTATTGATTTTTGCATATTCTAGTAGTTTCCTACTTTTGGGAGATATTCCCTCATCATAAATAATGAAATGACTTTTTCTTATGTTGTTATGAAATGTCAAATATTCAGTTAACAAAATGACATCTTGAAAGCCACTGGAAAGAGGTTCTATACAAAATACAAATGTTGCATTTTCAGTATGTCTTGAGATATTTATGAGACTTGAATTTACAGATTTGAATGATAATGTCACTCCATAAGGCACTTTATTTATATTTGAAGGTATACATTTAACAAAAAATCCTGAGTATTTATTAGATTGCTCTTCTAATTTCACTGTACCTAATAATGGTGTAGGGTAATCATCATACCATAAAAAACATTCCATATCTGATAACTGTGTAGACATGTCTGGAATCATTGCTAATATAATAACAGATGAAGTATTTTTATCACGTTCCCAAAATGCTGAATATAAATGTAAAGAATCTACAATATGAATCCATGAAACTTCCTCTTTAATTCTAATTTCTGGCCTGACAGTTGTTTTATGGTGCTTTAATTTTGAAAATTCTTCTCTATTTCCAAATGAATTTAAAACTTCCAAGACCATTTTCATTTTGGAATATTTTCTTTCATAAATAATGACTAAAATAATAGATGTAACTGCAGCAATAACTAGTGCAAGTTGAATATATTTCCTCATATTTACTTGTCTTTCACAAAACTAAATTCTTACTTTTTAATATTATGGACATAGTTTCTGAAAAAATAAATAAATAAAGACATTATTAATTTTAAAGTTATAAAATTTTTAATAAATGTTTTATTCTTAAAATTCTTATATGAAATAAAATATAAATTATTATTTTATAAAACCAAGATTTCATTAATTAATTTTAATCACCATATTTTATGGCATATAAGACAACTCCCAGAACAGAATATTTATAAAAATATTTAATGTATTTAAGTCAACCCATGCCTTTTGTACTCAACCCCAAATTTTTTTACTGTATTATGGATAAAAAAAGAAGTAAATTTAGAATGTACACTTTTATTGATTAGGGAAAAGAGGAGTTTAAATTAAGTCATTTACAATTAAAATATTCTACATTAACACATGCAAAAGCTGCTTAGCTGTAACAAAAAAATAAAAATGAAAAGCAACCTACCAGTATTTTTCTAAGTATAAAATCATAAACTAGAAAAATCAACATTGCAGAGTTCATTTATAAATTAAAGTTAAAAAATAAATTATATGAAAACTGTACAAGCAAAAGCTGCACAGTATAAGAAAAAAAATTTCACATATATGACACAATGCAATTTTTAAACCACTATTTTGGGCAAAAGTTATGCTCTATATGCCATAAAATACTGTATATAAAGAATACATAATTTAAATCTCCTTACATAATTTTACAATCAAGAAAAATTTAAATTTTATTTATGAACTGAAATAAATAACAATACATCTTAAAAACAATGTTTCAGTTATTTTGGTTAAACTTAATTTATGGATTTAAAAATCTTTATGAATATTAAATTTTATTATATATTTATAATACTAAAGATGAAACAATCTGGAGTGAATAAAAGTATATAGACTAATAGTAAAAAACAAAAAATAAAATATAAGATAAGCAACCAGAAAAATCAGAAATTATGATTGTGTTGAATGATAATATACTCCTATATAAAATTATCTCAAGATAATTTTTACTTAAAAAAAAAATTAAAAATTTATAGATTCTAAAATATTTATTTATAAATATCTATTGAGATATTTATAGAAGAATAAAAT